TCAAGACGACGGATATTCACTCTGCTGAGCGATGTTCACGAAGGGTAGGCTTTGTCACGATAGACGAAGCCTTCGACCCCATCTGGCCAGAGGTCAAGCGCACCTCCTTAGCTTGGGTGCGGCACTGGCTCCTGCCAGGGTTCGACAGCTTAGCGAGCCATGGCCAAACTGCTTGCACTTATAGCAGCGCCACGGGATGGGACTGTATGGTCATGCTGGAAGTTTATAACATAAATTGTTGCTATTTTAGTGGGAAGTGTTGTTGATCTGAAGGTTAGTACAATGTGTTTTGTAAGAATTTCTTTGTTCATCTTTACCTTTATGCGCTGCTCTTAATGACATTCTTGCCTTTCCACCCATTCAAGTCCTTGAAATTCAGAGTCAAGAGGTCCTTGAAAATTTTGAAAACCCTTGAATTTGAAAAACGAATTTTCAAGGCCTTTTAAAGTCCTGGAATTTTTCCTGGTCTTTGAAAACCCTTGAATTTCCTAAGCAGTGCACTCCCAGATTGACGTTTCAACTCTCTTAATGTGGTAGATCGCTGTCAACCTGACAAACTTTCTAGCTCATAAACAGTAATTTATCGTGAGTGCACATGGTTCTGTTTTGCAGAACTTCACTGTGAAAAAAAAAATTCAGTTTGTCTGTTGGTGTGGTGCAGCAATGAATGCTATCTCAATCATTCTTATAATCTCTACCACTCTTGTAAGCATACAGTGCGAGTTTTGTTTCTGAAAACCTGTATCCCTTGATCCAGCGGTTGCCAAGCAGCCGTCGTGTTTGCAGGTAGAAATACAAGTTCGATGCACTCCAGCCCTATCACTCTGGTATGAGCACTGCAGTTGTCAACTAGAAGTAAAACCTTGCGCTTGTTAGCGGAGAAGCGGCGGTCGAGTTTGAGCAGCCAAGCTTGGAAAATATCGGAAGTCATCCAGGCCTTTTTGTTCGTGCAATATTGCACAGGAAAGTGGTGAATGTTCTTAAAACACCTTGGGTTATGTGCCTTCCCAATGACTAGCAGTGGCAGGTGCTCGGTGCCCGAAATATTTGAAGCGAGAAGCACATTGATCCTTTTTTTGCTCCTATTCTCTCCAACGCACGGGTCGCCCTTGAACAAGATAGTTGTGTCCCTCAAGGCTTTTAAAAAGAGAGCCGTTTCATCGGCATTGAAGACGTTGGCAGGCTTACAACGAGCCAAGTACTGGGGAAGCTGAGTTGTCTTCCAGTCAGCAATACGCTGTTCGTCCACTGTTGCTTCCCCGCACACGTTTCGAAAGACCAACCGGTGCCTTTCTCTAAAGTGTGCAAAGCAGCCTTCAGACGAACTGAAAGATTCGATGTTTATTCTCAGTGCATACCTTTCAGCTTGCTCACAGATCAACGGTCCACTCAAGGGAAGCTGGCTGTTCCGCATGCCTGTTATCCACTGCAGCAGTGCGTTTTCTAGCTTGGGGTGTGCTGCCGTCCTTAGTCATTTTCATTTTCCGGTGAGTTTACCGCTGTCAAACGCCTCGAAAATTTTTTTTTTCTTTTTCATGTAGTCGCTTAAGGTGCTTCTCTTAACATCGTACTTTTTCATTATCTCCTGTCAAGAAACACCTGCGTTCACGTCTTTCAATATCATAACCTTTCTTGCAAGATCATTTGCTGGCTGCTGTGGCCGCTTAACTCTTGTGACGGTTGCCATAAAGTGCGACGGCAGTGGCAATGCGCACAAACACAGCCGCAACACGCGAAGTCACAACACAAAGAACCAAGACACGAAGTGCACCAGTAGATGTAGCATGAGCGTAGCGAGCAGCTGTTAGTACACACTGGATGCGCCGGTGGCCCAAGCGCTTCTGCCGGGTGGTGATTAGTGCCACCTAGCCACTTCCCCCTTATTCACTATCTTCATGGTCATATTCTGCTGCAGTTCGCTCCGTTTCGGTTTTTCCAAAACTCTGGTTCTGCTGTCGGTTACGGCAAGCGGTGCTTGAGCCTCCAAGCTTGAGCCTCCAAGAGATCGCGCAACTCTGGAGTCCCGGTAGCCCTCTCCGTCTGAGGTAACCGGTGCGCGGCTAAATCCCTTCAAATTAATTAGCATTTGACTTCATTGAAATATACACAGTTTTGCCGGGACCGCGCCGCGAGTCCGAGTTGCCTGAATTTTCGAGTTAACGAGGTCCGGATAAACAAGCTTTTACTGTATCACCAGTTGTTGTGACACTTGCATTGGCCAAGGGCAAAACAGTCGGTGTGGTAATGTTGAGTCGGTGGCATGAGCACTCGTGGGGCGGACGAGGAGGCAGGCAGGCTACGACGTCGCGGACCGAGCGTTCCAGGCAGGCACGGCAGGCCACCGATCTCGTCCACGCGCATCAACCACAGGAAGGTAGCAGGCCCTTCGTCGAGACGGGCGACTGGTTGTGGAGACCCTTCGACGCTGCCGGGGCCTTTGCACTCGCCTTCAAAGGTCGACTGTTTGGACCCTGGCACCAACATCGTGGCACTCTGGCTTCTCCCGGTCTCACTCCTCACGTTCCAGCCTGTCGTCGTTTCTGTCTTCTTCGTCTGCGTGCCAGCTTCTCATTGGCTTTCAACCGATTTTTCTCGTCCACTCACCATCTGTCATGCCCTGCCTACGTCGCCCTTCTTTTCATTGTGCACGTGTCCGTTGTGTGGTGCTGCTGTTGTTTTACACCACTGCTTTTTCACCAATTGCGACACCACAACAGAACTACACCGAGGGAACACCACACCGACAACACTGAACTATTGCACTCATCATAGTTCGTTTCTCTCCTGAAGTAGTCCTGCTCGTGCTGGACTTAACAGCAACAGTGCTAATTCAGCCACACACGATCGAAATGAAAATTTATGAAATATGCAGTATTACCAACGCAGCAGTTATCTTGACCACAAAATAATTCTACACTATACAATGTCATTACAAACAGCAGCACGTACTTGTGTTGCATATAATTACCACATTTGGGCACAAGTAGGGTCGATGAGTGCTGAATAAAAATGGTCACTATGTGCACATATAAACATACATTTATGTACAACTATATACATACTTAAAACTGTTACCAATTGCATGTAAGACTCGGCCATGTCGCTCAGCCATGTCGAAAAGTGCATTTGTCCTAAGGTTCAAGAAGGACCTAATTTTGATTTTGAAATTTCGAGTTTGTGCACGATCAAGCCTCTTCGATTCCTTGAACAACGTGATGAATTTTTTTTCCGAATGACTTCACCATACCTGCCAAGTCTCCTGGATTGCCCGGGAGACACCCGTATTTTGACTGTTTATTCTGTTTGAACTGTTCTCATGAGATTCTCCCGGAAATTGAAATTTCTGTGCGTGATCAGGCCGCATTGACGAAAAAGCAGCTCTATACATTCCAGCCTTCTTGCAAACCTACTCCATTTTATTATAAAAGAATTTGGGAAGCGTTCATCTAAACGTACAATAGAATCTCAGTGATGCGAAACTGCAGCAGATAGGAATTCACAAAATTCCTGAGCCGAATTCTACAGTGTCTATTAACCCTACATTCGAATTTTCCAAACAGATTTCTCATTAAGGAGGGGGGTAATGTACTAACTTTAGTAGGGAAATCTTCGAATGAAGGCCAAGAGCACCGTACTTAAGGCTTCGAAAGTACGCGTGCCACCGGCGCATGCACTGTCTTCTACAATGTGTGTGATTGTCGTTGCCACAACCTCTGTGGATGAAAACGAGGTCGTTCTTGACACGATCATACATGGTGACGATGTAACTGACAGAACCCCGATAGTATGTGTGGGTCCAATGCTCGACCAGTCCAAGCAACGCTGCTCTCCACAAACTCTGCGGACAAAACCACAGCATATGGGATTGTAGATGGCCTTAGTTTTGAAGCCACACGTGCAACAAAGCGCAAGGGGATGGGAAAAGGAACTGTCGTTTGCCGCAGCCGCCGCGCACAAAACTGCGGTCATGGTGACGCGATGGCGATCTACGAGCTCCAAGGGCACGCGGCTAACACAGTGGTAGGTCAAAGGCTGTAAAGATGTTAAAAAAAATAAAAGGCTAGACATGTTTGGCATTTTTGTCAAAAGAATCTGGTAGTGAGCAAGGCTTTGACCCGCACTTTTACGGCAGCCAGCTGGGCCGTCTACATGTGTCCCAGAAAGACATATACGAGTTGTTTTGATGGAAATAGATTTTGCTAGTTGTGTTGATCCTTTGCGATTCTCACCATAGTGGGAAATCCTACCTTTGTGTGTTTGGCCACTCCAAGCCACCATAAGAACGTAACGCCACCTCTTTTTTGTGATGTTTTTTTTTCTTGGGGCCAGAAAAAATGAGGTCAAATAATTTAGTGCAACCTCTTCTTCCCCCCCTCTTACCGTTGTGGAGATCTCCCAGACTCAGAATCCTTGAACTTGGCAGGTATGAATCACAGGCTCTATTATAAACCCACCCCTTATGTGAGGGCCCTGTTTGGACTCGATAATTAGGAGCATCTCAGAGCGGGAACCAGTTGTTAGGTACCCAGGTCCGGCTGGTCTCGTCATTGATAGCTGGCCCCTGTCGCCGGACACATCGTCGCTTTTTGCAGAGAGAAAAAGCTTTAATATCAGATGACAGAGATTATTTATTTTACTTTATTTTATTTATTTGCCAAATACTGTCAGCTTTTCACAGGCCATTACAGGGAGTCGAGAGATACACAACTGAAGTACATTGTACGAGAAACCAAACTAGACAGTCACAATAACTAAAACAACAAAGTGTGGTAGGTCGCGTAATCAGGTAGGGAAGGGTTGCACTTTATTGGAAACCAGAAAAAAGAAATAAAAATTTGAATGTGTCGTAGCGCAATACGTATTGCCTGATGTGCTTCTCATGACAATTTCTACGAGAATGGCGATGCAGTGGTTTCAAGTGTTCGTGTTTGTCTATGTTAATGTAATTGTTATAAAACAAGTATAGAAATTTCATCGCTATTACCCCCGGCCGACACACATTCAGCAGTGGTGGCACCGTGAGGCTCGTCGACTGGCTACTAAAGCAAATCGTCTTCCTTTTCCCAGGAATCGACGTCTATCAAGAAACATCGGTGCTACCATCCATCGGTGCGACGTCCAGTGGCACAAACGTTGGATAACAAGCCTGACGTCATCACCGAGAACGTATAAAAAGAAGAAAACATCGTGTGTCCTGTCACACACATTCAGCAGTGGTGGCACCGTGAGGCTCGTCGACTGGCTACTAAAGCAAATCGTCTTCCTTTTCCCAGGAATCGACGTCTATCAAGAAACATCGGTGCTACCATCCATCGGTGCGACGTCCAGTGGCACAAACGTTGGATAACAAGCCTGACGTCATCACCGAGAACGTATAAAAAGAAGAAAACATCGTGTGTCCTGTCACACACATTCAGCAGTGGTGGCACCGTGAGGCTCGTCGACTGGCTACTAAAGCAAATCGTCTTCCTTTTCCCAGGTTGGTGCTCATCTGTATGTAAAATTTGACATATCCTGGTTGAGTACGCGGTTGCCACTGCTGCTGAGTAACTAACATGACCGACACCTGCATTTCTTGTCATGAAGTTTTGCGGGACGCACCATACCTGTCATGTTTAGAGTGTAAATATACGTATCATTTAGGTGCATGTTCAGGAGTAACAGAATCGGCATATAAAAAGAAATATGCAGCGGCGAAGAACTCGTGGAGCTGTGCAACTTGCAAAACGTCGAAAGCTCGAAGCAGCAAGTGTGCTGAACTAGCAAATGTGGAGCAGGAAATGAACCTCGCAAAAGAAATAGGCGAAATTCAGAAGAAATTATCACTACTTCTTTCAATGAAATCGCAAGTCGATGCTCTGGCAGGTGTTGCTGACACTGTATGTGGTATTGAAAGGTCACTACAGGAAATGTCAAGCAAGTATGATGACGTGCTTGCCGAAATGAAGCGACAGAGTACTGATATGAGCAATTTAAGAAAGCGAGTGGAAAAACTTGAAACGCAGACTAACAATAGTGAAGTAGAAATGCTTAAGCAAGAAGTTAATAACCTTGATCAATATAGCAGACGCCTTAACCTGGAAATCCATGGACTAGGCGAACAAACTAATGAAAAAGTAATAGAAAAACTTAATCTTTTGGCTGATGAACTGGAGCTTCCAAAATTATCTGGAAAGGATATTGAAGCCGCCCACCGACTGCGCACTAGAGCAGGCACAGACGGGGGTGATAAGCCATCGCCTATTATCGTGCGTTTTTCTGCCCGGTGTACTCGTGACGCTTGGCTTGCAAAAAGAGGCGAGCTACGAAAAAAGAATTCAAAGGTTTTCATCAATGAAAACTTGACTGCACAGAATAAGCGGTTGTTCTGGCAAATGAAAACAAAGGCAAGAGAAATGAAATATCAATTCGCCTGGGTCAAGGACGGAAAATTCTTCGTTCGGCGCAGTGAACGGGACAGAGTAATACGGATTAAGACAGCCAGTGACCTCGACCATATAAGATAACTCTAAAAATGACACTTTTTTTTTTCGTGCGCCATATAAGCATATGGCTGCTCACGACAACACAAAATACCATGATGCTGATTCATTTAGGCGTCTCAAGGCCTTACGTGGCACCAAGCGATTCTCTTTGCTTCACCTTAACACACGAAGTTTAAAAAATAAACATGATTCTGTTAACCTTTTTTTAGACAACTTAGATCATGAGTTTGACGTATTGGCATTCACCGAAACTTGGTTTTCCAATGACTGCCCCGCTGTAAACTTTTCGGGATACAACTGCATATCAGTATCACGACCTAAAAAAAGAGGAGGAGGCGTTGCTGTGTACATTAAAAACCACTTTAATTATGAAGTTATTCCAGAATACTCAATCATTGATGTTCACTATGAATGTCTGCTTGTGAAGTGCTTTAACACAATGCTAGCCGTTCTATATAGGCCTCCAAACGGTTCTGTAACAAAATTTATTGAATTTCTAGAGCGTGTTTTAGAGCACTGTTCATACGTTGGTCTACCTATAATAATTAGTGGAGACCTGAATATAAACTTTCTCTCTGTGGAGTCACCTGCACAGATGCTACTTGATGTTTTTCTTTGTTTTGGCTGTCAAAATGTCATTGATGTACCTACAAGAATAGCGAGCAAATCTGAAACTTTGCTAGACGTTTGTTTTACAAATTATGAAATTGGTCAATCTGATGCCGGAGTGTTAATATCAGACATAAGTGATCATTTGCCCTTCTTCATCTTTTTTACGCCTCACATGGCTCAACACAACCAACGCAAACAGCCACCTATTCTTTTAAGAAAAATATCTGCAGAAAGGGTTAATTATTTCAAACATTTGGTTGAAGGAACTAGCTGGGAGCCTGTCTTGCAGATAACTGATCCTACCGTCTCCTATGACTTATTTATTAGAACATTAAAAGAACTCTATTACACTGTATTTCCCTTAGAACAGCTTAAAAAACATAAAAAATCGAGAAAACCATGGATTGATGCCTCTTTACTGAAGAGAATAAAGACCCGTGATAAACTATTTGCATTGTTTATAAAAACAAAGAACCTTGATCAGTTAGCTGAATACAAAAAAATGAGAAATAAATTAGCAGCTGATATTAAACAAGCACGTAACTTGTATTACGAGGCTAAGTTTACTAGCATTGCTAACGATTCCAGGAAAGTGTGGAATTGCGTTAATGAACTACGAAATAAAAACGAAAGAGACGTAATATCGGAAATATTGATTGAGGGCGTATCATATACGGGTAGTTCGCTGGCAAACAAGTTTAATGAGCATTTTTTAAAGGCAGGTGTTTGCACGTCTTCACCGACAAATGATATCAGCTGCACTTCTTACATGAACAGCTCAGATTCAACAATTTATATGTATCCTACTACACCGGAAGAAATATGCGGCTTGTTAAAAAAGTTAAAAAGCAACAGTGCCTGTGGTGTAGATGAATTGAAGGCAGTTCCTCTTAAAGTAGTCGCTCATGCTATCTGTTTACCTCTATCGCACATATGCAATCTTATTCTAAGCTCTGGAACGTTTCCCAACGAACTGAAGATTGCAAAGGTATCAGTTATTTTAAAGGAGGAGATAAAAACGATCTCGGTAACTATAGGCCAATCTCTGTTTTACCTATGTTTTCCAAGGTTATTGAAGAAGCTATAAACTTCAGGCTTACTAATTTTTTTCAGCAAAAAAACATTATCGTAAAAAATCAATATGGTTTCCAAAAGAAAAAATCCACAGAAATGGCATTACTCGATATTAAAGATAAAATAGTTGACAACATAGAAAAAAAACTATTCACGGTAGGGCTTTTCCTTGACTTTAAAAAAGCATTTGATTCCGTTAAGCATGATGTTTTACTGCTCAAACTATCCAGATACGGTGTCAGAGGTATAGCTCTAGACATTGTAAAAAGTTACCTAGTAAACCGTGTGCAATACACCAATATTGGTAATGCGAAATCTGAATTCGGTAAAATTACATGCGGCGTGCCACAAGGGTCAATCCTTGGCCCACTCTTGTTTATTATGTACATAAATGATATAGTTAACATACCTCTTACACCTGACATTATTTTGTACGCCGATGACACGAATGTATTCTTCTCTGGGCCAGATATTGACGACCTTATGTTGAAAGCGAATATTTGGCTACAAAACTTATCTACATGGCTTAGGGCCAACAGGTTAAATCTAAATGCTAAAAAAACAAAATTTGTTGTTTTTAGACCTCGTAACAAAACATACATTAGTAAGAATATTATTAGCTTTCAGGGACAGCCTATTGAACGCGTTGCGTCTCTTAAATTTCTCGGTGTCTTTTTTCACGAATATTTAGATTGGTCTGTGCATATAAATTACTTGCGAAAAAACATCTCTCGAGCAGTTGGCATACTATGCACGTTGCGCAGCCTATTACCAGTATGGTTAAAAAGACAGATTTATTACGCAACCATACATTCGCACCTTCACTATTGTCTTCTGATTTGGGGAACGACGACAAAAACTAACCTCAAAAATTATATCTATTACAAAAACGAGCTGTGCGATTAATTGAACTTCTACCTTTTCGTTCGCACACAGCCCCTTTTTTCGAAAAACATAGACTGCTAGTCATTAATAATATCCGATATAAAAAATTAGCAATGATTATATATCGTGAAGTTAAATCTAATCGAATTGAATTTTTCAGGAAGTATCACGAGCGTAACCACAGTCATAATTTACGACATATTAGTTTCAAGAAAGACACGCTTCGTACAAATTACGGTACACAAAAACTAACTTACCAAATTCCCCACTTTCTTAATGAACACCCCACTGTGATGGCATTAATTGAACAAAGTTCCTCCATTTATGTTTTCAAAAAGAAGATACACACATTCCTTCTAAAAACTCAAACAGATTCTCATACCTCTTTCGATTCATTTTATTTTATGTAACTTTTATGTGCTGCTGTGACTTTATGAATTTTTTTTTTGCTTTTGTCTGCCTGTTTGTTGTGCGTAAATAGTCTCTTATTATTTCTTTATGTGCTAATTCATAATTGCTGTTCATTTCTTTGTTAATACTGGCTTGATGTAAAAAAAAAATTGTAAATGTTTTTTGATATTGTATGTATCTCAATTTCTCAATTTTTGTACTGCTATATATAACCTGTTTATGTATGTGTGTACATAGGGGGTTGGCGCTTTGTCAGGCTTCTGGTTCTCGTCATTGATAGCTGGCACTGTCGCCCCCGGGACACATCGTCGCTTTTTGCAGAGAGAAAAAGCTTTAATCTCAGATGACAGAGATTATTTATTTTACTTTCATTTTATTATTTGCCAATACTGTTCAGCTTTTTCACAGGGCCCTTACAGGAGTCGAGCGATACACAACTGAAGTACATTGTACGCGAAACCAACTAGACAGTCACACTAACTAAAACAATCAAAGGTGGTAGTAGGTCGCGTAATTCAGGTAGGAAGGGTTGCACTTTATTGGAAACCAGAAAAAGAAATAAAAATTTGAATGTGTCGTAGCGCAATACGTATTGCCTGATGTGCTTCTCATGACAATTTCTACGAGAATGGCGATGCAGTGGTTTCAAGTGTTCGTGTTTGTCTATGTTAATGTAATTGTTATAAAACAAGTATAGAAATTTCATCGCTATTACCCCCGGCCGACACACATTCAGCAGTGGTGGCACCGTGAGGCTCGTCGACTGGCTACTAAAGCAAATCGTCTTCCTTTTCCCAGGAATCGACGTCTATCAAGAAACATCGGTGCTACCATCCATCGGTGCGACGTCCAGTGGCACAAACGTTGGATAACAAGCCTGACGTCATCACCGAGAACGTATAAAAAGAAGAAAACATCGTGTGTCCTGTCACACACATTCAGCAGTGGTGGCACCGTGAGGCTCGTCGACTGGCTACTAAAGCAAATCGTCTTCCTTTTCCCAGGAATCGACGTCTATCAAGAAACATCGGTGCTACCATCCATCGGTGCGACGTCCAGTGGCACAAACGTTGGATAACAAGCCTGACGTCATCACCGAGAACGTATAAAAAGAAGAAAACATCGTGTGTCCTGTCACACACATTCAGCAGTGGTGGCACCGTGAGGCTCGTCGACTGGCTACTAAAGCAAATCGTCTTCCTTTTCCCAGGTTGGTGCTCATCTGTATGTAAAATTTGACATATCCTGGTTGAGTACGCGGTTGCCACTGCTGCTGAGTAACTAACATGACCGACACCTGCATTTCTTGTCATGAAGTTTTGCGGGACGCACCATACCTGTCATGTTTAGAGTGTAAATATACGTATCATTTAGGTGCATGTTCAGGAGTAACAGAATCGGCATATAAAAGAAATATGCAGCGGCGAAGAACTCGTGGAGCTGTGCAACTTGCAAAACGTCGAAAGCTCGAAGCAGCAAGTGTGCTGAACTAGCAAATGTGGAGCAGGAAATGAACCTCGCAAAAGAAATAGGCGAAATTCAGAAGAAATTATCACTACTTCTTTCAATGAAATCGCAAGTCGATGCTCTGGCAGGTGTTGCTGACACTGTATGTGGTATTGAAAGGTCACTACAGGAAATGTCAAGCAAGTATGATGACGTGCTTGCCGAAATGAAGCGACAGAGTACTGATATGAGCAATTTAAGAAAGCGAGTGGAAAAACTTGAAACGCAGACTAACAATAGTGAAGTAGAAATGCTTAAGCAAGAAGTTAATAACCTTGATCAATATAGCAGACGCCTTAACCTGGAAATCCATGGACTAGGCGAACAAACTAATGAAAAAGTAATAGAAAAACTTAATCTTTTGGCTGATGAACTGGAGCTTCCAAAATTATCTGGAAAGGATATTGAAGCCGCCCACCGACTGCGCACTAGAGCAGGCACAGACGGGGGTGATAAGCCATCGCCTATTATCGTGCGTTTTTCTGCCCGGTGTACTCGTGACGCTTGGCTTGCAAAAAGAGGCGAGCTACGAAAAAAGAATTCAAAGGTTTTCATCAATGAAAACTTGACTGCACAGAATAAGCGGTTGTTCTGGCAAATGAAAACAAAGGCAAGAGAAATGAAATATCAATTCGCCTGGGTCAAGGACGGAAAATTCTTCGTTCGGCGCAGTGAACGGGACAGAGTAATACGGATTAAGACAGCCAGTGACCTCGACCATATAAGATAACTCTAAAAATGACACTTTTTTTTTTCGTGCGCCATATAAGCATATGGCTGCTCACGACAACACAAAATACCATGATGCTGATTCATTTAGGCGTCTCAAGGCCTTACGTGGCACCAAGCGATTCTCTTTGCTTCACCTTAACACACGAAGTTTAAAAAATAAACATGATTCTGTTAACCTTTTTTTAGACAACTTAGATCATGAGTTTGACGTATTGGCATTCACCGAAACTTGGTTTTCCAATGACTGCCCCGCTGTAAACTTTTCGGGATACAACTGCATATCAGTATCACGACCTAAAAAAAGAGGAGGAGGCGTTGCTGTGTACATTAAAAACCACTTTAATTATGAAGTTATTCCAGAATACTCAATCATTGATGTTCACTATGAATGTCTGCTTGTGAAGTGCTTTAACACAATGCTAGCCGTTCTATAGGCCTCCAAACGGTTCTGTAACAAAATTTATTGAATTTCTAGAGCGTGTTTTAGAGCACTGTTCATACGTTGGTCTACCTATAATAATTAGTGGAGACCTGAATATAAACTTTCTCTCTGTGGAGTCACCTGCACAGATGCTACTTGATGTTTTTCTTTGTTTTGGCTGTCAAAATGTCATTGATGTACCTACAAGAATAGCGAGCAAATCTGAAACTTTGCTAGACGTTTGTTTTACAAATTATGAAATTGGTCAATCTGATGCCGGAGTGTTAATATCAGACATAAGTGATCATTTGCCCTTCTTCATCTTTTTTACGCCTCACATGGCTCAACACAACCAACGCAAACAGCCACCTATTCTTTTAAGAAAAATATCTGCAGAAAGGGTTAATTATTTCAAACATTTGGTTGAAGGAACTAGCTGGGAGCCTGTCTTGCAGATAACTGATCCTACCGTCTCCTATGACTTATTTATTAGAACATTAAAAGAACTCTATTACACTGTATTTCCCTTAGAACAGCTTAAAAAACATAAAAAATCGAGAAAACCATGGATTGATGCCTCTTTACTGAAGAGAATAAAGACCCGTGATAAACTATTTGCATTGTTTATAAAAACAAAGAACCTTGATCAGTTAGCTGAATACAAAAAAATGAGAAATAAATTAGCAGCTGATATTAAACAAGCACGTAACTTGTATTACGAGGCTAAGTTTACTAGCATTGCTAACGATTCCAGGAAAGTGTGGAATTGCGTTAATGAACTACGAAATAAAAACGAAAGAGACGTAATATCGGAAATATTGATTGAGGGCGTATCATATACGGGTAGTTCGCTGGCAAACAAGTTTAATGAGCATTTTTTAAAGGCAGGTGTTTGCACGTCTTCACCGACAAATGATATCAGCTGCACTTCTTACATGAACAGCTCAGATTCAACAATTTATATGTATCCTACTACACCGGAAGAAATATGCGGCTTGTTAAAAAGTTAAAAAGCAACAGTGCCTGTGGTGTAGATGAATTGAAGGCAGTTCCTCTTAAAGTAGTCGCTCATGCTATCTGTTTACCTCTATCGCACATATGCAATCTTATTCTAAGCTCTGGAACGTTTCCCAACGAACTGAAGATTGCAAAGGTATCAGTTATTTTAAAGGAGGAGATAAAAACGATCTCGGTAACTATAGGCCAATCTCTGTTTTACCTATGTTTTCCAAGGTTATTGAAGAAGCTATAAACTTCAGGCTTACTAATTTTTTTCAGCAAAAAAACATTATCGTAAAAAATCAATATGGTTTCCAAAAGAAAAAATCCACAGAAATGGCATTACTCGATATTAAAGATAAAATAGTTGACAACATAGAAAAAAACTATTCACGGTAGGGCTTTTCCTTGACTTTAAAAAAGCATTTGATTCCGTTAAGCATGATGTTTTACTGCTCAAACTATCCAGATACGGTGTCAGAGGTATAGCTCTAGACATTGTAAAAAGTTACCTAGTAAACCGTGTGCAATACACCAATATTGGTAATGCGAAATCTGAATTCGGTAAAATTACATGCGGCGTGCCACAAGGGTCAATCCTTGGCCCACTCTTGTTTATTATGTACATAAATGATATAGTTAACATACCTCTTACACCTGACATTATTTTGTACGCCGATGACACGAATGTATTCTTCTCTGGGCCAGATATTGACGACCTTATGTTGAAAGCGAATATTTGGCTACAAAACTTATCTACATGGCTTAGGGCCAACAGGTTAAATCTAAATGCTAAAAAAACAAAATTTGTTGTTTTTAGACCTCGTAACAAAACATACATTAGTAAGAATATTATTAGCTTTCAGGGACAGCCTATTGAACGCGTTGCGTCTCTTAAATTTCTCGGTGTCTTTTTTCACGAATATTTAGATTGGTCTGTGCATATAAATTACTTGCGAAAAAACATCTCTCGAGCAGTTGGCATACTATGCACGTTGCGCAGCCTATTACCAGTATGGTTAAAAAGACAGATTTATTACGCAACCATACATTCGCACCTTCACTATTGTCTTCTGATTTGGGGAACGACGACAAAAACTAACCTCAAAAATTTATATCTATTACAAAAACGAGCTGTGCGATTAATTGAACTTCTACCTTTTCGTTCGCACACAGCCCCTTTTTTCGAAAAACATAGACTGCTAGTCATTAATAATATCCGATATAAAAAATTAGCAATGATTATATATCGTGAAGTTAAATCTAATCGAATTGAATTTTTCAGGAAGTATCACGAGCGTAACCACAGTCATAATTTACGACATATTAGTTTCAAGAAAGACACGCTTCGTACAAATTACGGTACACAAAAACTAACTTACCAAATTCCCCACTTTCTTAATGAACACCCCACTGTGATGGCATTAATTGAACAAAGTTCCTCCATTTATGTTTTCAAAAAGAAGATACACACATTCCTTCTAAAAACTCAAACAGATTCTCATACCTCTTTCGATTCATTTTATTTTATGTAACTTTTATGTGCTGCTGTGACTTTATGAATTTTTTTTTTGCTTTTGTCTGCCTGTTTGTTGTGCGTAAATAGTCTCTTATTATTTCTTTATGTGCTAATTCATAATTGCTGTTCATTTCTTTGTTAATACTGGCTTGATGTAAAAAAAAAATTGTAAATGTTTTTTGATATTGTATGTATCTCAATTTCTCAATTTTTGTACTGCTATATATAACCTGTTTATGTATGTGTGTACATAGGGGGTTGGCGCTTTGTCAGGCTTTCTTTGCCTTTACGCCGATCCCCTAGGCAAACTGTGTACACGGGTTGTCTGAAATTAAATCAATAAAAAAAAAAAAAAAAAAAATGTACATTAAACCAAACTAGTCATCATTTATGACAGCTAAAGCAGCAAATAATTCGTAGGCCTTATATTAAGGTAGCAAAAAGGAAAAAAAACACCACTATGTTATAGCGTACGAAAATACTCTTCTACGATTGGCACGAAACATTCTATGCTATTTTCCGCAATAATATCTTAGAGTAATGCGTTCCATACTTTATTGGAAACCAGAAAAAAGAAATAAAAATTTGAATGTGTCGTAGCGCAATACGTATTGCCTGATGTGCTTCTCATGACAATTTCTACGAGAATGGCGATGCAGTGGTTTCAAGTGTTCGTGTTTGTCTATGTTAATGTAATTGTTATAAAACAAGTATAGAAATTTCATCGCTATTACCCCCGGCCGGCAAGCAAGCATAGGAATTCTGATGGCATTTCAAAGAGCAGTGATGCTGTCAATACCGGAATATATATATATACACATATATATATTGTACCGGAGCATAGTGGCGCCAGCTCTGTGCCAGCGTGAAAGAAGACATTGACGTCCGTGTGTGGCTCGTGCTTGCCGGGTTCCTGCCTGTACCAGCCTGTTGCGGCTAAAGCTTCTCGAATAATAACCTGTGTTTTTACGTCACCTTACTTGTTGAATTTGGAGGAGGTGCTGGGTAACGTTCTGGAGCTCCGCAGCCGTAAGCTACCATCTCAGTCCGCGATGACCGAGTGCGTCGATCCCCCACAAGCCTCTTCCGCGCTGCCGCCTGTCATGTGCCCTGGTGTACTTCGTCTCCGTGACCCACCAGTATACAACGGCACTGAAGATCATGATGTCGAGGACTGGCTGGCAGAGTACGAGCGTGCCAGTGCGATTAACAAGTGGACGACCCTGCGAAGCTGACTCATGTCGTCTTCTACCTGACGGATTTGGCCAACCTGTGGTTCACCATCCACCTAGCCGACATCCCCACCTGGTTGTTTTTCAAAGAGGCCGTGACCTCGTTTTTCGGTCGTGCAGCCATGCGCAAGCTTCGTGCTGAACTGGGCCTGCGGGGACGATTTCAGCGAAATGGTGATAGCACCGCGAGCCACATTGAGGATGTGATCAAAGTCTGTTGGTCAGTGGATGCAAAGATGATGGAGGCTGACAGAATAAAGAATATATTGAAAGGCATTGATGACGACACTTTTCATATGCTTGGGGCCAAAAGGAGTGCTTGGCTATCATTTGGACTATAGGAAAATTTCCCACTTACATTTATGGGTGCCAGTTTGATGTTGTCACAGACCACCATGCTTTATGCTGGCTAGCGTCCATGAAAGATCCTACTGGCCGCCTCGCTCATTAGGCTTTACGCCTTCAGGAATACGACATCCGTGTTATTTATCGCTCAGGACGCAGACATTCAGACACCGATGCACTATCCCGTTCTCCACTGTCTCCTGACCTTGCCTGCTTACCAACTGCCATCTGCGATTCGTCATCGTTGAGCATCACCAACATGTCATCCGAGCAGCGCAAGGATCCCTGGATCAACTCTTTGCTTTCCTCTCTCACAGTTCGTCAGAAACGACTTCACGCTACCTCTCTCGTCAAGCAAGACACTTTGCTGTCTGTGAAGGCTTGTTGTATCGCCGCAATTACGTGACGGCCGGCCGTAGGTGGCTCCTTGTCATCCCTCGTCATTTGCGCTCGGACATCTGCGCTGCCTTTCAAAATGACCCCCAGTGTGGCCATGCTGGCGTATTCAAGACTTACTCTCACCTTCGTCAAAGATTCTACTGGTGCGGCATGTATCGGCACGTTCGCCAATACGTTCGGTCATGCACCACGTGTCAACGACGCAAGACGCCTTCTCACAGCACTGCTGTCCCTTTGCAACCCTTAACCTGCCCAGCGAGACCATTTGACCGCGTCGGAATTGATATTTATGGTCCTCTACCCAACACTCTTCGAGGCTACCGGTGGATTATCGTCGCCGTCGATCATTTGACACGCTACGCTGAAACATCTGCGCTGCCTGCTACCACTGCGAAAGACGTTGTTGTCCTTTCTTCTTCACCATCTCATTATGCGACACGGTGCACCTCGTGAATTACTGAGTCACTGTGGACGCGTGTTTCTCTCGATCGTCGTCGAAGAGCTGCTCAAGGAAAGTCGCAGTGTCCATCGGAAAACCTCGGCATACCATCCTCAAACCAATGGCATGACAGAACGCTTTAATCGTAACCTCGAAGATATGCTTGCCATGTACGCCTCTGACGACCACACTATTTGGGACCAAGTGCTCCCTTTTGTCACGTACGTGTATAGCTCTGCGCCACAAACAACCACTGGCTTTTCTCCTTTCTTTCTCCTGTACGGACGTGAGCCATCATGCTCCATGGACACCATTCTCTCTTACAAGCCTGATGTTTCCGAAGCGACGCCTGTTTCCGAAGCAGCTGCTTATGCTGAAGAGTGTCATCAACTCGCTCGCTCATTTACCGCACATGACCGATGGCGCCAGAAAACTGACCACGATGCCTTTGCTTCTAGTGTCCACTATAACCCAGGAATGCTGGTTTGGCTCTGGGTCCCGCCTACCCCTCCTGGTCCTTCCCTGAAGCTTTAGTCGAAATACCATGGCCCCTACCGTGTAGTGCGACAAACATCTCCTGTCAACTATGAAGTTTAGCCCATTGATCCACTTTCGGACCAACGCTGCTGAGGGCATGAAGCAGTACATGTATCACGCGTCAAACCGTGCTATGACCCCCTTGTCGTGTCATTTCCCTAGGTCGTCAGGTTGGCCCCTTTCTTCGCGGGGAGTAATTGTACCGGAGCATAGTGACGCCAGCTCTGTGCCAGGGTGAAAGAAGTGGTGACGTCCGTGTGTGGCTCCTGCTTCCCGGGTTACTGCCTGTACCAGTTTGTTGCAGCTAACGCTTCTCGAATAATAGCCTGTGTTTTTACGTCACCTCACTCGTGTATATATATATCTATATATATATGAAATAGATGATCAGAGTTTTTTCGGCTACCGTAATAAAAGTTATAAACTTCGAGAATAGTGCAGTATAGGAAACGAAACAATAAAATATTTATTTAATCCTACCAGTTTCGGCTGGTGGACCAGCCTTCTTCGGAGGATCTAAGGGAAATGGAGGATCTAAGTGGATTTCACTAATATACTCCGAAGGCTGGTCCACCAGCCGAAACTCTTAGGATTAAATAAATATTTTATTGTTTTGTTTTCTATACTACACTATTCTCGAAGTTTATAAGTACAGTGAAAGCTCGTTTATTCACACCTCAATAATTCGAAGTTTTGGATAATTCGAAATGGTCGCCACAGTCCGGTCCACAGTGCATAGGAGACCATGTGTAAAACGATTCGTTAATTTGAACAGAAATTGCTGCCTCTGCGGATAATTCGAAGCGCGCGCCACCGAGCGTCATCATCGTCAAACACTAGTGGAAGCTTTTACGGTCGAACGATAGGCGGCACGACAAGTTTTTTCGAGCTTCAAGTGGCCTTCGAGCAAAGGGCGAGCAAAGTATGGCCTCCAAAATCCAGGGAGCAATTTTTTTTTTTTTTTTGTAGCCCTCCCACTATCTCAGCGCCTGGCGCCACTTGTACGCGGGACCCACGGGACGCTGAGGAGTCGGCGGAGTAGTCCTAGCAGTCCTAGGCCGTTCCCGGCAGCGTCACTTTGTTCCTCGAGCACGTTGTTCGTTTACGAATGATTTTGTGCGCGGGCGACAGGAAGGACTTCGGCATTACGCTGCTCACTGCCATGCACATGTTAGTGCGCGCATGGGAACAGGTCACCGCGACCACAATCGCAAATTGTTTTCCACCACAGTGGATTTGCAGCTGGAAGTACGCAGGATAGTTGTGACGTCGACGTGGATGGGGCTGAGGAGCTCATGCCAGTGGCATTGCGCGACACTCTTCGGGGTGTACGTTTTGCCGATTATGTTGAAGTTGACACCGGTGCATCGGTGTGTGGTGCCCTGACTGATGAGGACATTATCGCTCAAGTAGCCGGTGCGGAGCCTGATGCTGAAGAGCCAGAAGGTGAGGAAGACGAAAATGACGAAGCGCCTGTGCGCCCATCAGCTTCTGCGGTGATGGAGGCACTTAATGTGGCGCGTCTCTTCTTCAGCTTTGAAGAGGGTGAAGAGGATTCCCTGCGCCGCGTCCGCGCGCTGGAACATTCAGAGAAAAGAAGCAGATGGTCATCACCGACTTTTTTGGCCAATAAATATTTTTCGTGCCCCCACCCCCGAAATCCACCCATTTTTGCTCACTTTCATTATTTCGAATTTTGTTTAGTTCGAAATTGCTGAGCGTTCCCGTGGAATTCGAACTAACGAGCTTCTACTGTATATTTATATATATGTATATATATATATATATTTTCTGCAGAGAAACCCGAGTGTTTTGAATGCTTTTGCGCATGTGTTTTCAATATGAATGTTCCACTTTAAGTTGCTTGTGATCGTTATACTTAAATGGTTCAAAGAGTCTGTTCGCGTGACATGAGAGCCCGCTATTGTATAAGTGGATGTACGAGGGAATCTCTTATGGCTAATAGTCATGCACTTTGTTTTGTTGACGTTTACTTTCGTACCCCAGGTTGCACATCATTCAATAATTTTATCTAGAGATGCATTTAGAAGCATCTGATCGTCAACACCACGCACACAGGTGTTCATAATCAGGTCATTGGCAAATAAATGCACTTTCATGCCTTCACCAACACGATTTACGTCATTGATATAAATAAGGAACTATAGTGGTCCTAGCACTGATCCTTGTGGTACTGTCAAGTATACTTCACATAAATCAGAGTTAGTATTAATAATTGCAGCATATTGTGTGCGATTGCCCAGATAGGCAACAATTCAGGCTAATACTTTTGGTTCAATACCAATATACCTAAGATTTTCAATTACTGTGAAATTCCGAACAAGCCCCCCCCCTCCCGGAAATGGTGATAATGACCGCGGTGAAGAGGAACGGGCGCTTGCACGGAAATGCTGCAAAGTTCAAGATGACGGCCGGTTGGTTTTTGTTTTCTAAACAACGATAAAGGCTTCTTACAGCGATATGCAGAGGGAACAAAACCTTTTCGGGCAATTTTCGATGATTGTTCATTCGCTTTCATATCCATCAAAGGACCTGTCAGAGTCGGTGTCAAACAACAGGCTGTAGCATTCAGCCTGCAGTTGCTCGGGATGTTCTGGACAAATGTCCCCAACGCTGGACAACCGGCCATGTAGAAGCTCCTCCTCCGATCCATCTAGTGCATTCGATATTCCGCACTCCTTTAAACTCTGAATAATGGTCGTCTCTGGTACAGCGTCCCACGCTGTGGCCACAAAATTCAGTACATCCTGACGCGACTGTTCTCGCAGATTTCTTTTCGAAGTTCTTTCTGCTATGCGCATGAACTCCTCCCAGCTGCTTCGAAGGCTGGCTTTGAAAGACTGCTTCCAGTACACGTCGGCTGGCTGCAGTAGGCTTGTGCATCCAGCCAGCCCGTATGCAATGTCTGTATCTCGCACCTCCACAGCATTCTTTTCTGCCTGCGTTTTTGTGAATAGGAGCTAGGTCTAATACCAACAACCGCCTAACGTTGCCGGTGTTTGGACCCCACACCCGTGACAGCCACTCCTGGAGTTTTTCGGATGTCATACCCCTGTTCTGCAATGCTGTCACATGGACGTTCGCTATAAGAAAAAAATAATAGTATAGCGTGATCTCGCTACCCCCACTAACAAGGAAAAAAAAATAGAAACACACCTGGTACAGGGATTTTTGTGAAAGCTTTCGTTGTAATCTTGCCGCTCGGCTCCTTCAAAATTACGAAGGCCGGAAGTTTGTGGCCTGACGCGCAGGCAGCGAGTGCGACTGTGAATCCTCGCCTTGCACATCCAATATTGGCGATCCGGACAGAACTTTCCCCGATTATGTTGTTTGTTCGAGATGCCGGGCAGTCCATGCGGACCATTGTATGCTCCATGTTGGCCACATTAAAAGGCGTGTAGTCATGCATCATTCGTAGCTCGTTCACGGACAACCGAAAGGCATGCTCTGCTTCTGCATAGTCATCCGGCATCTTCTGGCTTTTATTCGTTGCCTGTCGGATAGAGATGCCAAAACGCTTCTTGTAACTGGCAATATCATGGTCTCGACGCTACGAAGTTTTTGAGCTGTAGGCTCCTGGCTACGCGCACAGCCTCTTCTGCGAGCAACCTGTTGCTAACAGCGTGCATCCCACTGCACTGACTTGCAAAAAACTCGAAGAGGGCATCGTCGACTTCTTTGCTCAATATGGGAGCACAGTTGCTCAGCTTGCGTCGTGACTTCGACTTGCCGAAGTTTTGTTGCAGCAAGGCTACATATTTGCTGTCCCACTCGCGAATCCTCCTGCGATCGATGTTTAAGTGCCGCGAGGTCGCGTGCACATTTATTCCACCTTGGTGATACCACTGAACCACCTTAATTTTCTTCGTAACAGTGTAAAAACGCAATGACGGCATCGTGTAGCAAAGTCGACCTTGATGAACAACGAACAAACACAGACTGGTTACGTTAACACACCTCAACACACGCCAAGCCTAACGGCTATGGCTAGATCCAGCAATGTCTATAGACGAAGCAAGTGCGTCAGTTTTGATAGGGGGTGCTTGTTTGGAAGTGGGTGGCAAATTCAAATTCCCAAAACTAGGACGGGGGGCGCTTGCTCAGAATTTTACGGTAACTCAAAATGTACCACGCGGTCATATGCTTTTGAGAAATCAATGAATGTGGTGTAAATTAGGGACCTATCTTTGATTGCTGAAGCGAAGTCTTTAGTTATTTCTAAGAAGTTGTGTTAGTGTATCATGATTTGTTTGTTAATTATGTGTTGGAGTATTTTACAGCAGCAACTTGTTAATGATATCGGCATGTATTTATCTATGAGTGTTTTTTTTTTCCGTCTTTGTGAATGGGGGTAACATTTGCGTGTAACCAGTCCAGGGTAAGGTTGCTTTGCTAAGCGATTCAGTAAATATGATGTGCAAGAATGGCATTAACTGCTCTGCATATCGTCTCAGATATATAATAGATAGGTAATCGGGACCGATCGCTTTCTTGTTGTCGATTTCTTGGAGCAAGTTCAACACACTAGACTCTGTAATTGTAATCTCTGGCATAACTATTTAAAGCTCAGTCAAAGGTGTGCTCATGATGGGTCAACGGTTAAAATACCGACTGAAAATAATTAGTAAACTTATTTGCTATAATACCTTCATTTTTTACTACTGAGCCATTAATTTCTATTTTAGTTGCTCGATCCTCTAGTTTTGAGAGATACCTCCAGAATTTCTGGGGTTGGTTCTTCATGAAATTCATTAACCCTTTCGGCCCTGGCGGTGTCAATTGACACCACCGCACAAATTTTCCCCTAGCATCTCGGAAACGTAACTAATACAGCTCACTCTTGGGGGCATAGTTCTTCAATGATCCCCACTGCAATTGACACCAATATTGCGGCGCGTTTGTGGAGGTAGCAGCCACAAAGAAGAAGAAGCGTGACCGAGGTCTTCCGTGAAGCCGAGGCGCGTAAGTTGAGGCGGGTAAGTGCCATTTTCAGGACGGCGTACCGAAGCTGTTTCAGTGAGTATTAGGCTGAAAAGTAAGACGTTGGTTTCCATTTTGTGTGTAAAATTAATTGGCAGAAAAAAAATAAGCCACTTTTTTCATTTTCCAATCACAGGGCCATAATTACCTAATTTGATGCGACGTTAATTAATCCCAAAATGCTTGTACCAGTGGCGCAATTTTTTGCTTGTAGTCTTCTGAGGTCCTAACTACGAGAAAAACGCGCACAAAAAGTGTATCTGACCAAAATAAAAAATTCAGGGCTGAAAGGGTTAAGGCATTTGAAGAGAGCTTATTGCATCAGAGAGATAAGGAAATAGAAATTTCTACAAAAGTCTGGCTTTTATAGCCCAGCTTCAGCCAACACTCAACAGCTCCTGCCAGTATGGCGCCCTGTTGTCTTTGTGCCCCGCCTACGAGAAAGGGTAAAGGAACCACACAATACACTCGGTGAAGGCATAGCCCAAGATGTGCAAGTTAGTCACTAGTGCACTGCACAAGGTCAGCACAAGGTCAGCACAAGGTCAGTGGATAAGTGGCCTCATCCCAAGAACTCTTCCGGTGAGGAGGAAGAGCCCGAGAGGGTAGATGAGGGTGTGTCTACTTCAGAGGAGATGGAGGCAGCATACTCGAGCAGACGCAGACCTTCAGATCTTCGTGTCTGTATTTGAGGTAAAAAATGCAAAGGTTTTGCTGAGATCCTTTGAAGGGCTGCCATCCCAATTTCTAAACACAGCCCCAGAAGTAGGCTGTGCACGAATCTCCCATTGTTTGCCGGGAATGCATCCACAGCAGCATTTATGGCTTGCTTGACTACGCTAGCATAAGCCATCTCCAAGAAATTGCGGCACTTTGTGCCTTCGTCCGAGCGCTGACTTTTTGACTGACGCCCAATGGCGCTAGCCAGAAGAATTCTAAAGCTGGCTGTGAAGCCCTCTTGAGGGGTCTTTAAAAAAAAGTAAGCAGGTGTGATGTTTGTGTGAAAAAGCACAATCTCACCAAAGTTATACAGATTTAAATGTGCTTGCGCAGAGACTATTTCGTTTTTTGGATTTAAGCTTTCATAGTGACACCCAAGTTAGAACAATTGCAGCAGTGGCTGTGCATTTATTGTTCTAACGATGCTTGGATAGTCTTTTGTTGAAGTGTAGTAAGAGATTTGTCAGGGCATGTGCACTTGTACGTCCATGCTGTTATTATTAGCAAACACCTACACATTTTCTAAGCAAGTACAAGACCAGTGTCTTTGTCAGCGGAGAAGATATTCAGATGCTTAATTTCAAGGGGGGGCTGTCTCATCCCCGATTATCATCTCCCTGGCTTTAGACACAATTACTTGTAAGATTTCACAATGGCATAAGCTGACTTAGTGCCATGATCTTAGAGCCATTGTCAAACTAAGGCCCTCGTAGAGAACACACAGGCAGCAAAAAGAAAACACTGGTCTTCACCATGCTCTTCCCACTATGTAATAGCAGTGTATCACCAAAGCATGGGTTAAGGGGGGACACGGTACCTGGAGCTATCTTTTTTATTTATGAACCAAATTGAATTTAAAAGCACAGGTATATGTATTTTGTTGTGCTGATTTCAGAAATGCAGTTATTTTTTCTGTGACTCAGTAAGTTACCAAGTTACCGAAATAATTAGATATTAATTACTAATAATTGGTGAGACAACAGATAAAAATCTACTAAGCAGAAAGTTAAATTTAGTGCATTAATGTAAAGTAGATTACATAAGAATTGAACTTCTGCAAGCAGTTTTCCAATCCAACAACAATTAGCAATTTAGGAGCTCATCAAAGCTTAGATGTTTATGTCACAGCCACTAATGAACTTGAACAAAAGCAAATAAAAAAATGTAGAGAGAGAAAACAAATAATCTGCTTGCCGCAGTTCAAGCTTTCTGCATTCAGCATCACATATAAAAAAATTACTGCTGTAGCTGTTCTAGGAATTTAGATATCACTGTACCAAACAAGCAAAATGAGTAAAAAGCTTGTTCTGAGAAAATCACGAAAAATGTAAATAGCTCAATTTATTTCAGAATATCATAAAATATTTACAAGTTACCAGTTGTAAATGATCAGTAGCCCCCTGGCACTACAGTGTACTAGAAGTATTGGTAGTGGCCGGAGCGGCGGCCTCGGCGTGATGCGTCGTGCATAGAGAGCGCTTGCGAGTTTCCACTCCAGCATTTTTTAAAAAATACTCGTTTTCACACAAGCGCGTTGTATGAAGTGTAAAGCGCGTGCGCAGGACGATCGTGCGAGTGGTGGAACGCGGAACGCATCTCTCGCTCCACTTGAAGGTAACTGACCGAAGTGTTTGCCGTCGTTTCAGCCAAGCTGAGTACGTCTCGGCGTGATGCGCTCCTGAAAAACGGGAAATGTATGCAGTTCCTTGAAGCATCTCGGGGAGCTACATCTGCGCGAGGCTGAGCGTAAGCAACGCTCAGCTGAAAGTATCTAATAGTTCATTCCTCCTCCAGGCTGGCCGCCACGAGCGAGTGCATCGTCGAAGCGTTTTAGAATGTCATGTTTATTTTTCCTCATGTCAAATATGTCACTTAAAAGACAGTAGGATTGGACGTGTTGGTACAAGATTTATAGTGCGTAGCAGCGCAAAACGACAAGACGGGACAGAAGAGAAGACACAGAGCGCTGATGTGTCTTCTCTTATGTGTCTTCTCTTCTGACCACTCTTGTCCTTTGCGCTGCTACGAACTCTTAATCAAATTTGTTAGCAAGGTGTTATGTAAGCAACCCTAAAATCTGTAACATGCGATGGTAGTACATGGCGCTTACTTGCACAATATTTGATCGGGATGCATGCACTTCGTGCTGCTGCTGCAGAACGCATAGAAATTTCACTTTGTGCTTATAAACTTTATTTAGCTGCACCAGTCAAAAGTCCTGTTGGAAACATGAAAAATATTTTTCTGCTGAATGAATGCATGCAATAAACGTACATTTCAGAAGCACGAGCCTCCTGCAGACACTTTTATTTAGGTCACAATATCAATGGCAGGGGGAGGCATATTCA